CAGGCACTGCTGCATCGCTTGTCTTGTCTTGGGAGCACAGATGGGGCAGTGGGGGCGGGGAGTGTCCCTGAGCCCTGGGAGAGCACGTTCTTTCCCACACTCTTTGTCCTGCACGGGTCTCTGGGCCAGTCCTGAGGGGCCCTGAGCAGGCAAGTGGAGAGGAGCTGAGCAGGGCCGCCCCGCCCCTGCCCAGCGGGAAAGCAGCCGCCAAGTCTGACAGGGCCAGAGGGACAGTCCCATGCTGGTGAGGCTCAGAAGGGACCTCCTGCTCTCAGCTTAGATGTGGGGTGGTAATCTGGGGCCGGCCAGGTGGCAGCAGATCAGAATGGATCCGGATCAGGATGGAGATGGGAATGAGGATCTCACTGCTGAGCCTCTAGGCGCCCAGCCAGCACAGCACAGAAGCGCCTCGGGTCTTGGGGCTCACGTGAGCTGTCTAGGAGCCCCTGAGATGGGTGTGGGAGGCACAGATCCACGCAGAGGACCAGAGAATCATCCCGACCACTGCTGGCACTTTCCAGGCCATTTCCTAGCTGACAACCACTCTGAATTATGTGACTGCCTCCTGCCACCTGCAGGTGAGAAGACCAGAGGGGACACAACAGGGGACCTCAAAGAGGAGATGGCTGGAGACACCCTCCATGCCAGTTAGAGGTGGGAGGGGGGGTGGTCAGGGACTGGGAGGGGAATCAAGCGTGCATCTGGTGGGTTCAGGACTCTGGAGAGGTCAGTTAGAAGTCATGGGAAAAAGTTATGGACCTGACGGCCAGGGTGTGAGCATAGGAGAAGGATTTTAGGGGACAGTCCTGAGGGATGTTTTCAGGGGGTGGAAGTGAAGTTGTGGTTGGGGAGGGTGAGGGTCGGGGTGGGGGGTTGTTGATTAGAGCGGGTGTGGAGGATGCCTGTGAAGATCCCAGAGGGGAAAGGCTCCTGCAAACCAGCCTTAGAGCCTCCAGTGAGTGTGCGTGCGGAGCCCTGCAGTGGGTGGGGCTGGGAGAGAGCCCAGTGTGTGCATGGGAAGGGGGGCTCTCCGGGGGGGGGAGGCTTGGGTGAGAGCCTGCATGGGCCCTGGTGTCAGCGAGAAGGCGTCCTGGTGCCCTGGAGGGTGACTTGGAGTGGCACCCGGGGGTCATCGTACATCTGATGATCCTGCCTGCGTCCGGCCCCCATAGCCCAGCCCCCTCCCACCCCCGGGACTAGGGCGCCAGGCACTGTGCCCCTGCTGCTCCAAAAGCATGAGGTTCTGTGCCTGCCCGTCTCTCTCCTGTCAACTCAGATTGCCTTTCCCCGGATGGCCTGGCCCAGGCTCCTGGACTGGACTGCTGGTGGTGGAAGTTGCTTGTGTGTTTGGTGGTATGTGGGGGTGGGGGTGGGGGTGCAGGGGAGGAAGGAGCCGTCCCCTCAGGTCAGGCCTGCAGACCTGGGCATGGTGGGGAGGTCTTCAAGAGGCAGGAGGGTAGGGCCTTGGGCCAAGGCAGTCTGATGGAGGAGGCACATGTTATTTGGAAGGCCTGAGGGCTCTGTACAGGTCAACTGGGGATCAGGGGAGACAGTGGACGACTTGAAGGGCTGGGACACAGGACAATGAATTTGGAGGCACCCCGAAGTCAGCCTGGGGCCAGGGCTGGGGCGGGATGGGGCTGGATCCGGTGCGGGGAGCCCCTCAAGAGGCCTTTGACAGAGGTGGGGGGACTTGTGAGGAGGACTCAGTCTGAAAATTCACGGAGGAGAAGGGCGCTTGCGCACTGGCTCCAGCGCCTCCAGCGAGTCTGTGTGCGCATGCCCGGCTAGGGTGGGGGCTGGGCGCGTGTGGGGTGAGTGCATCCAGGAGGGGTCACCTACGGGTGGGGTAGGTCCACCCGCGAGGCTCAGCCTGGGTCCAGGGTGTCAGCCAGAGGCGTCTGCGTGTCTGGAGGGTGACTTGGGGTTTGCAAGCTGTGCGTCTGCAGATGCATGTGTCCCCGGTCGTGTGCGCATGCGTGTCCATGTTCCCGGAGAGACCTGCAGGCCTGGGCATGTGCGTATCTGAGTTTCCCTGCAGTGTGTGTCTGCGGACGTGTGTGTGACGTTATTTCCTGGTGTCCTCGGGGTTCATTTCAAAATATGTGTTTTTTTTTAATGTGTGTGTTTGTGTATCCCTGTCTGTTCTGAGTGTGTGGATGTATTTCTGAACGTGTGTGTTTGTCGATGTGCCCAGAATCTCTATTTTAAAAAGATCGTAGTTTGGGTAATGGTGGGTTCTCTGTGTGGTCTGAGTGTGTGTGTGGAGTGCCTGAAGGGGTCTCTGTGTGTAGGTTGGGAGGTGTGGAGGAATGGCTGGTGGGTTGTAACTGTGTCTTTTTTCCCCCAGCAAAAATAAATTTTGTTCCCCCCCTCCCCATATTTTGAGGTGTAATTGATGAATAAGAATTGTACGTTTTAAAAGGTACAATGTTTTATATCGGTATATTTCTTTAAATGATAATCAATATCAAGTTAATTAGCACTTCCTTTATCTTAGCAGTTATGTTATTTTTTTCGTGCTTTGAATGCTTTACAGTGTGAGCTGCCTCTCTTTCAGCCTGAGGATCATTTTATGACTGATGACTCTGCAGGGCTTAGCCCCTACCACCAGCCCACCCCATGATCAGGAATCCAGGCCCCTGTGTCTCTGCTGCTCTGAAGTATGAAGTTCTGTGATCCTCTGATCTTCCTTTCAACTGTCATAGACCTTTTCCTGTAAGTCCTGGCTGAGACTCAGGGGCTGTAGTACATGGGGCAGAGGCACCAGGCAGAGAGCTGACATCTGAGGCCAGGTGAAGCCCCTACCCAGAGGAACAATGATGCAGGGTAGCTGTGATCCAGGAGAGGAGGTGGAGTGAGATGCTTCCTGACTCTCATCCACTAATAATGGTAAAATTGTAGCCAGTACACAAACTGTCTATAGTGGGGTCAGACATTATTTAATCACTTGTTATGTGTTGGGGTTCAGGATAACATACCCTGAATATGACACCTTGGCGTATTGAACCTCAAGGAGTTTGAGAAAAACACCAGAAATAAGGTCACTCTGACATCCTCCACCTTCTTTCTTGAAACAGGTTATAAAACTCTCATGTGAAAGTTTCCCTCCTTAAACCAGGAGGAAAGGGACATCTTTATGTCTGAAGAAAAAGAGAATGAGAAGAATTCTAACAAACAGGACTTGCTACAGTTTCCTACAATCCCTCATACTCTTTAACCGGTCAGATTCCTCCTGGAGTGTCCACTCTTCATCAAACCTAGCATAAAATGCGTCTTTCTCATTTTCTCAGGAAGGCTCTCATGTCACAGAAAACTTACATTGAACTGGTGAACTTTTCTCCTGTTAATTGTCAGACCCAGCTGGGATCCTAAGAGGGTTGAGGAAAACTTTTTAATCATATGTAATCCTTACATTTAATAACTTAGTATCCTTCCTCCCACCCCCCACCCCACCCTTGCCCTCACAGAGGGGTAAACTGAAGCTCAGACAGTTTGCATAATTCTGGAATCGTTGGTTTCCAGATAAGACACACAGGGGAACACTTCTGGGGGATCCCCCACATGGGGAATTTGTGTGTTCTGACTTTGTGGGTTTTACTCTGCCAGGATGTGGTTATGTGTATCTTACGTTTCCTTCTAGGAGTTTTATAGTTTTGATTTTACACTTAGGTCTGTGATCCATTTTGAGTTATTTTTTGTGAAGGGAATAAGGTCAGTGTCTAGGTTCATTTTTGTGTGTGTGTATGGATATCTGTTCCAGCACCGTTTGTGGAAAAGGCTGTCTTTTCTCTGTTGCTCTGCCTTTGCTCCTTTGTTAAAGATCACATTTATGTGAGTCTGTGTCTGTGCTCTCTGTTCTGTTCCATTGATGGCTTGGTCTATTGTTTCATCAGTACACACTATCTTGATTACTTTAGCTTTAGAGTGTTGACCTTAAAAAATAAAACAGTTCATTTACCATCTGAAAAGGTCTTTCATAATTGGGAAGAGCAGAGAATAGCAGTTCGGGCCAAGCAAGCTGCTGCAAAAAGCATAGCCTAGTCCGACAGACAAAGGAGAGGAACTTCTTTTTATGGAGAAGGAGGAAGTTGGGAGGGGTTGTTCTGAATGAAAGTCCGTTGGATAAAAAGCAGGGGTTCAGGGTGGTGATGGTTTGTCACTGGCTGAGTTGCAGGGGTGGTCAGTATCTTGTGGGAGATGCAGTGTCCATCTTTCCCTGTGGGGGCCTGGAATTGATGATTCTTCCCTGTGCCGCATTCTTCTCATGGAGTGTGTAATCCACAATTCTTGATTTAGAGTGAGAGCTCCCCCTTCTGGTCTGCTAACTTCATTTTAGTGAGGTTTCCCTTTATTAAATTTTCTCACAAGTAACTCTTGAAAGTCCAGTAGTGTCAAGTGCTCAAGTCCTTAGACACTGTTTTTCTCTTTCAATATCGTATTGGCCATTCTGGGTCTTTTTGCCTCTCCTGTAAACTTGAGAGTCAGTTTCTTGATATCCACAGAATCAGTGAGGGTTCCAAAATAATCCCAGACTCCTCAGTTCAGGGGTCCTTGGTTCCTCTGGGCCTGTGCTCCCATATCTGTGAGATGCAGCCTGGCCATTCTGGGCCTTTCTGGGCAAGGTGGGGCTCGGTCTCAGCCTTGGTTCATCCAGGGCTTCCTTCTGTCACCTGAGCTGAGCCCCTGGACAGACACGCTCACAAAGGGTAGTGGGGGTCTAAGATGCAAAAGTGTTGATGGAAGGCAACTTAGAAACCTTTCTCAAAATGACACATACATGGGGTGCCTGGCTGGCTGACTCAGTCGGTGCAGCGTGCAACTCTTGATCTTGGGGTTGTGAGTTGAGCCCTATGTTGGGTATAGAAATTACTTAAAAATAAAATCTTAGAAAAATAAGAGACATGTACATGTTTTGCTTCAGCAACCCCATGTTAGGGAATTTATCTTACCTGTAGATTTACACACCAGCACAATTGTTGAAGGTCAAGAGTATGCCCTCAACACTAGTCGCAGGAGAAAGTACTGAAAACTCAACTGTGAGGAACTAGTTAAATAACTGAAGTCAAAACCATACAAGATCACCCAAACAGCTATTCAAAAACAGTGAGGGGCACCTGGGTGGCCCAGTCGGTTAAGTGTCCATCTGACTTCAGCTCAGATCATGATCTCGCAGTTCGTGAGTTTGAGCCCTGCGTCAGGCTCTGTGCTGACAGTTCGGAGCCTGGAGCCTGCTTCGGATTCTGTGTCTACCTCTCTGTGTCCCTCACCAGCTCGTGTTCTGTCTCTCTCTGTCTTGAAAATAAATAAACATTAAAAAATTAAAAACCAAAACCAGTGAGCAATCTCTCTTTGTACTGATATGAAAAGCTCTGCAAGACATACTGGTAAGTGAAAAGAAATAAGGGCACAGAACAATGGGTAAAGTGTGCCATCTTTTGTCTAAAAAAGGGAGGAAATGGGGCGCCTGGGTGGCGCAGTCGGTTGGGCGTCCGACTTCAGCCAGGTCACGATCTCGCGGTCCGTGGGTTCGAGCCCCGCGTCGGGCTCTGGGCTGATGGCTCAGAGCCTGGAGCCTGTTTCCGATTCTGTGTCTCCCTCTCTCTCTGCCCCTCCCCCGTTCATGCTCTGTCTCTCTCTGTCCCAAAAAAATAGATAAACGTTGAAAAAAAAAAAATTTAATAAAAAAAAAAAAAAAAAAGGGAGGAAATGAGAGTACGAGTACTTACACAAACCTAAAAATATGTCTTATATTTACAAAAATGTATAATTATGTATAATAGTGAACCTATGTATTATAACAATATAGATTATATAGTTACATATTTCCATTACATATCATTTTACATATGTAAATAATTTATATTATACAAGAAATATTTGTGCTATATAATATTTAATTTTTATATATTTATAAAAATATTTCATATTTTAAAATACATTCATTAATATTATTGATACATGCATATGTACAGGAATATATACTCTAGTACAGATATATGTATGATCACACATATAGATATATATATGGTCATATGTGCTTATATGCATGTGTGGAAGATATGTATATACACACACACACCATGCATAAAGAAATGTGGAAGGACACAAACTAATCGCAGTGGTTACCACATGTTTCATGGGCACAAAAAATTGGTGGGTGGTGTGATGAAGTTTTGGGGTGATGGTGGGGGGTTGGGAGCTGACAGCCAAGAAAGAATTCTTGAAGACGTCTCTGGTGCAAAAAGGTGATTTTATTAACGCACTGGGACAGGACCCATGGGCAGGAAGAGCTGCACTGGGGGTGTGAGGGGTAACTCATTATATATCCTCAGGTTGGGAGGGGGTTAGGGATAGTGTTGTCTCTAAGGAATTTTGGAAGCAAGGTTTCCAGGACCTTGAGGGGCTAGCTACTGTTAGGAAAACACCATTTATTACCCTTTAGGAAAACCGCAGTCATGGGACCCTTTGGATATATATCAGCGGCCATAGTATGATTGCCCACATATATCTCAGGGGAGTTGAGACAAAGGAAGTTTCCAAAGGAATTTTTTTTTTATGTGAAAGTAGACTTACAGGATCCTGGGGCACCTGTGTGGGTTAGTTGGTTAGGAGGTCAACTCTTGATTTCAGCTCAGGTCATGATCTCCGTTCATGAGTTGGAACCCCGCATGGGGCTCTGTGCTGACAGTGCAGAGCCTGCTTGGGATTCTCTCCCTCTCTCCCTTCCCTCCTGTCTCTGCATCTCAAAATAAATGAATAAACTTTAAAAATAAAAAATAAAATAAAATAAAATAAGTAGACTTGCAGGATCCTGTGGGGTTGGGGTGGGGGTGTCAGAATAACGTTAAGCCAAGATTCTCTTTGGTCCCTAGCAAAGTGTCATCATCGAGGCAGCTGAGCTCCTAGAGGGAGGCCACTGTGCCAGTTTCAAGGACTTGTCTATGGGCTGTAGGCAGTAAGGGAATTTAATTTTTCATTTGCCTTAGTTTTCCATAGCACCACGGCAAGCACTTAAATCCCTTTCCCCTGTTCTTGGGCAGCCAGGAATGTCCAAGGAATATCACACATATCCCACTTTGGGGGGTGGGGGTGCTGCTGGCCTGTACTCTGCCCTCACCTTGCCCCACAATCCCTCATCATGGGGCACACACTGGGAGGGGAGGAAGACATTTCACCTCATACTGTTGGTTTACCTAAAAATCTGCAAACCATATATTAACGAACCAAAAAGCCAAGGAAAGCACCTTAAGTACTCAGGCGACCCTGGTGCCACTTCCTTCTTCCCCTTCCCCCATCTCTGTCATGTGTGTCCTCGCGCGCCCCCCAGCGGAACGAGCGAGGAGCGGCCTGGATTTTGAGGTGCTGCTCCGCAGGCCCCACAGAGCGCACGCGCAGACGCTGCAGGGCGCATGCGCCGCAGCGTAGGCGCCAAATCTGAGCGCGAGCTGTTCAGTCAGTCAGGCGAGGCTCCAGGCAGGCAAGGTGAGCGTGAGCGGGCGTCGGGGTCAGCGTGTGAGTGGCGCGCGGGCAGCCCGGGACGGGACAGGGAGGGGGACATGATTGGCGGAGACGCGAGGGCGGGGAGCGGGCACCCGAGGGCGCCAGAAGCCCCGGGGCTGGTGGCGCAGGCCTCCCTGAGGTGCGACGCCACAGTGGGACTGAACCCGCGCCCAGCGCAGCTGTGCCTGGGGAGGAGGAAGTGAGGTGAGTGGAGCCTCCGTGTAGGGTGACGGGAAGTAGCCCTCGTGGGGAAGGGGCCTGGGTGGGACATGGGGGTCTGAGGAGACCAGGGAGCTGAGGGACACCGCTGCACTGGCGTGGCCTCTCCTCTCTGCGCATTTGTGACCTCAGTTGTCTGGCCTCTGGTTACTGCCCTTCTAGCCCTCAGGCTAAAGTCCTCCCTCAGCCTGCCGGCCCCACTCCCATTCACAGACCCCGCCCCTCCAGACCTCGACACGCCCCTCCCGGCCCAGACCCCAGCGCCCTCCCCCACCAGACCCCAGGACATGCCCCTCCAGCCCAGGGCCCGCCCCAGCCACAGGTCCTTCCATGCCCGACCTCAGGCCCCACCCCCTGGCTGAAACCCCGCCCCCACTCAAGGCTCCGCCCCAAACAACAGGACACACCCCCTCTCGGGCCAGGCCCCGCCCATAGGCCTCAAGACACGCCCCTCCCGGCCCCCCCGCCCCCTTCACCCCCCCCTCCCCCCACTCCTTCCCGGCCTCGATCCATTCCAGGCCCTAGCCCCCAACTCTGACTTTCCTCTCCGGGATCAGGGCCATGTCTCTCTGCTCTCAGACCCAGGGCGGGTCTGAAGACAGGGCATCTGCTCCCCCTCCCTCAGCTCTACGCTCCTCCCTCTCAGTGCTCCCCTCTACCTCAGTTCCACCAGTCCTGTCTGTCTCTCCTCCTTGCCCTGGTCATGCCCCTCTTTTCCCAGCCCGTGACTCCCCCGCCTCACATCTGCTCCTTCTCTTTATCTTGTCCCACTCCGTCCTCGGCTCTGCCCTGCTCCCTGCCTGCCTTGATTTACTCCCTTTCTCCTGCCTCGGTGCCTCTCTTCCATTCGTTCCCTTCAGTCCTTGCTTTCTCCTCCCACCAAGACCCCTGCCCACCCGAGATCTCTCCGGACACTCAGCCCTGCTTCTCGGAAAGCTCTTCCCCACTCTGAAATCAAGAGACTCCTTTTTTTTTTTTTTTTTAAGTATTTTTAATATGTTAAATACTGACTTTTTTTTAGCCCCCCCCCCTTTTAAAAAATATTTAACACCTTAGCTGCTTTTGTCACTATTTTTAACATGATTTCCCTCATGTTTCCCGGAGTGCAATTATGAATTATTTAGAAAATAATGAAAATAAGAGGGGTGACATCCCTAAATGTTGATGTATAACCCAAATTAACAGCTTTCAGTAGTCAAGAAGAAGGAAAATATTTTTAATATTTTTCTTTTTTTTTTTTTTTATTTTTTTTCAATGTTTATTTATTTTTGGGACAGAGAGAGACAGAGCATGAACGGGGGAGGGGCAGAGAGAGAGGGAGACACAGAATCGGAAACAGGCTCCAGGCTCTGAGCCATCAGCCCAGAGCCCGACGCGGGGCTCGAACTCACGGACCGCGAGATCGTGACCTGGCTGAAGTCGGACGCTTAACCGACTGCGCCACCCAGGCGCCCCAAGAAGGAAAATAAATTATACATTTTTTTCAAGAGGTTCCCAAACTCCCCCAAACAAATGAACAAACAAAAAATGATAAAACTCTAAAAAAGGAGTAAGAAAATAATGAAAATAAATAAAAATACATGAGAAAACAAAAATAATAGCCTTGGAACTAGCAGGTGGTACTTGGGGTGAAAAAGAGAAAGTGGCAATAAAGAACAAACAATAGAAATTTAAAAACCTAGGAATAAAGCAGCATCACTGATTAGTAAAGGATAAAGTTGCATACTTAAGGGATTTAATATTCTGAGAATACTATGTGCAATCATGTATTAGTATACTTCAGTTTCAAGCAAATGGATGGTTTTTCTGAAAAAGGATGTTTTTAAACTTGGGTTCAAAAAGTGGAAAGCCCAAATAGACCAATGGCCATGGAAAAGAACTGAAATAAGTTGTGAAACAATTGATTGACATTAGAGAGCTTTCTGTGCAGATGATTATAGTGGTATTAAGAGTTAAAAAATAAAGGTTGAGTAAAAGAGTGTTGGGAAGAAATAGAAGGTGCCAAAACTATGAAGTAATTGTTTAGAACTTGGATGGTATGGATGTAGGAATAAGATAAGGCTGAAATCCAAAATATAAAAATTTAAGGGAAGGAGAGTTAAGAATTTATGAAGAATGGAGGGATGCTGAAGGTGCCCTCTGAGGAGGCAGGCCCATGAGCTTTCTTTCAGTACTTGAGACCTGGAGGCCTTGACCTTTCAAGGTCATAGTTTCCCTTTGTGGGCCAGGAGGAAGAATTGTTACACCCTACTCGCCTTGAACCTGGCTCGTATAGGGAGGCAGGCTAGGCTGGTGTGATCCCACACTCATTTCTAGTAATCCTTTCTTAGGGTCCTTCCCTGGGCTGCACACCTGGAAGTTCAATTCAGGGTGGAACATCACACATCTCAAGAAGGAAGGGGGACAGGGGCGCCTGGGTGGCTCAGTTCATTAAGCATCTGATTCTTGGTTCCAGCTCAGGTTGTGATCTCCTGGTTCTTGGGTTCAAGCCCCCTGTTGGGCTCTTTGGGGACAGCAGGGAGCCTGCTTGGGATTCTCTCTCCCTGTCCTCCCCCCTGCTTATGCATGCGCACGCGCCCTCTCTGCCCCTCTCAAAATAAATAAATAAATAAATAAATAAATAAACATTTTTTTAAAAAAGCAAGAAGGAGGATAGCGAATTTTTATTTGTAGTGGCAGGAAAATTTTTAGGAAAAAAAAAATACTTTTCATACTTTACTCCAGACTGGATTTTGACCAAAGAATTAACATGAAATGTTTAATTGTCTCCTGTAAAACACTTACTATTGTCTGATTCTTTTCAACGAGAACATCCTGGAAGGTGTGTTGTGATAGCTCCTTGTGGTTTTGATTCCTGTTTCTCTGATGACTAATGCAGTTGAGCCCCATTTCGTGTCTGTTTGGCCATTTAGCTATCTTGCACAATACCTGCTTATATCTTTTAACTTTTTTTGCTCTTATTTGCCTTTTTCTAACTGATTTAATATTTTGCAAATGAATCCAGTTGTTTGTAGGGTATACATATCATAAGGCTGATTCATGGGGCGCCTGGGTGGATCAGTTGGTTAAGCGTCTGGCTTCGGCTCAGGTCACGATCTCATGGTTTGTAAGTTCGAGCTCCATGTTGGGCTCTGTGCTGACAGCTCAGAGCCTGGAGCCTGCTTTGGATTTTGTGTCCCCCCCCTCTCTGCCCCTCCCATGCTCATGCTCTGTCTCTCTCATTCTCTCAATAATAAATAAATGTTTAAAACAATTTAGAAAGGCTGTTTCCTTATTTTGTATAATATACAGTCATTTATTTTTGAAGTGAAGTTCTTCTGTGGATCAAATTAATACAGTTCATTGTGTTTTGAGGTTCAAGTCTCTTTTCCCTTCAGTGCCATTTCTGAGATATTTCTAGCCTGTGCCCATGAATTTTGTAGACCTGGGGAAGGGACTGAAGTAACATCATATCTGGAGATGTGCAAATTTCTGTAAATGTGTAGTTAGGCATTTGTGTGAAATGTGGTAACTCCTTTTGCTTCAAATCACCTCTACCCCACTGTCCAGTCCCAACTGTGCAGGCCATTTGTGAGTCTGTCTACATGATTTCTGCAGGTCCTGGGTTTCCGTATCCTGTTTTCATCTGCTACAATTCCACCCACCATCTTCCACACCAGTGTGTTCTGTAGCAGCCTGCCTTTTAGAGTATCTCCATCCTATGAAGGGCCAAGCTGTAAAGATGGTGCACGTGACAGACGTTTTGGCTATCTTGAAGAATCCCCAGCTCTTCCACCTACATGATCAAGAAGAGAATCCAGAAACCATCCCCATAAGAAGTCCAGGGGCTCTGAAAGCTTCTCATCAAACGCTTAGGCATTTTCAGTATCTTCCAGTGACTGGGTCTCACCCGGCTGTGAGCCAAATCCAGGAGCTCTGCCGGCAATGGCTGCAGCCCGAGACCCACACCAAGCAGCAGATGATGGAACGACTGGTGCTGGAACAGTTTCTGAGCACCCTACCGGAGGAGGTGCAGACCTGGGTGAGGTCAAAACAGCCTAAGAACAGCAAGGAGGCAGGAGCCCTGGTGGCCGGCTTGATCCAAGCATGTGGGGAGAAAGGTGAGAGAGGAAGGAAGCAACTGCCATTTCCACTTATTGAACATCCCCTGTGTGCATGGCATGTAAAAGGAGCTGAATAACAACTTGTCAGGGGCGCCTGGGCAGCTCAGTCAGTTAAGTGTCTGACTCCTGGCTTCAGCTCAGGTCATGATCTCACAGTTCATGGGTTCAAGCCCCACATTGGGCTCTGCACTAATGTTGTGGAGACTGCTTGGGTTTCTCTCTCTCCTCTCTCCCTCGCTCTCTCTCTGCCCCTTCCCTACTTATGTGCGTACTCTCTAGCAAAATACATTTAAAAATTTGTCAAAAGAATAAGTGAATGAATTTTATAATCCAGTCTAATCTGCCTCATAGGAGATGGAAGAAATTTGGGGCTTGGCTTTTGCTTTTAATATTTACTATTTCTTGGGGTGCCTGGGTGGCTCAGGCGGTTAAGTGTTGGACTTCACCTCAGGTCATGATCTCGTGGTTTATGAGTTCGAGCCCCACGTCAGGCTCTGTGCTGACAGCTGGGAGCCTGGAGCCTGCTTCAGATTCTGTGTCTCCTTCTCTCTCTGTCCCTCTCCCACTTGTGCTCTGTCTCTCTCTATCAAAAATAAATAAATGTAAAAAAATTTTTTAATATTTACTATTTCTCTGAGAGTATACCTTCTCTCCAGCTTTGTTGTCCCCTGCTCCATTTATTATCCAGCCTAAACTTTAGTACCAACACAAAACAAAACAATACACACAACCAGAAAAATGAGGGTATAAAATGTGAGATAAACAAGGCCTGGAAGTTTAACCTCTACCAAAATGTGGGCTCTTGGAAACTCAAGTTACCAGATTGGGATTTTAATAATGAAAGAAGGGTATTTTAATAGTGAAAGAAAAAAGTCATTTATTCCTCATAGTCCTTTGAACAAAAATGATACTAACTAAAAACAAAGTATTGTTTAGGAGCATTATATAGAGAGAGGGGGAGAGATAGAGGCACACAAAGGAACAAAAAATATGAATATAAGACTACAGTTACCTCTGGAGAAAAGGCTGGGTTGTGGACAGGAAAAAGCACACGAGTAGGTGTAAGTTATTGGGAATGTTCTAGATTGGGGGTTGGGTAGTGAATTCACAGGCATTAATTATACTTGTAAATGAATACATTTAAAATAAGTAGGGTCACGCGTGGTTTAGTATGGATATCGTGAATTAAGGATCGTTACTAACCCAATTCTGTGCACCTTCATCCCTTGAAAGAATTTGGAAGATGGTAGTAGTGAACACGTTGGATACTTCCAATGTACTACATCCTAGGTGTTTTATACATAACTAATTTATTTACTTCTCTTAATAGCTCTTGAAATAGTTATTACCTTATTTTGTACAGGAGACAGAGGCACAAAGAGGTTGCATAACTTGCCCACAATTGTACCCGGCAGTCAGGATTCCTATCCCGCAGCTGGCTGCAGCATCTATACTCCAACCATGGTGTTATACTGCCTCCGGTGGACATAGGGGATATTGCCCCAGAAGTTAAAAAGTTGGCCAAAGGGCCAGAGCTATTAACAAATGGAGCTCGAAATCAGGGAAAAGGAAAGAAAGCTCCCTAGGATATGTGGAAGAAACAACAGATTGATGAAAGGTGCACTTGGGAAGAGACTACAGGCAGGGCAGGCCTTCAAGGTGCAGGTTTCTGTGGGGAATGTGGTGGCCGTCTTCTAGATCAGTGAATGAAAAAGATGTAGGAAAAGCTTGAAGAGCTGCCACTTTAACATGCTTTGTGTGTGTGTTGTACATGTAATGCTTAATCCTTATAAGATCCCTTCCGAGCATAGGTATTATTATTTCCATCTTACAGTTGAGAAACTGAACAGTGAGGCTGGGAACCACTGGTAAACAGGGAACTTGCACTTTATGTGGAAGGCAGTGGGGAGTCATTGAAGGATTTAGAGCTGGGAAACGCCCAGAGCTCTTTTTTGGAACTTGCTATATTGAGAGGAGGAAAGATTTCTCTGGTTTTTCTCTTACAGGAAGTCCAGGACTGCTGCTGTCTTCCATGGCAGGGGCGGGGTTGATGTGGGGTGGCAAGCCACTCTCTGTGTCTGTGGGTGCTGCCAGACTGAACTCAGTTCCGTGGTCATTCCTTTCTCCCTTCAAGGTTTCCCTGCTCAGGACTTTGTCCTTGCCGAAAAGAGGAACACCAAAAAACAAAAGAAGGACACAGAGATGTCTGAAAACCCCTTATCTGCTGGACCCCAGGTGAGTCAGTCTTTCTTCTGACTTCGTTCTCCAAATGGGGATCTCACCTTCCTGATTTCCAGACCTTCCCTTTCCAGTTAAACCACATTCTCACTTTCTGTAAGTCTTTATATAAGTATCACCTAAGTGAGCCTTTCCCTGGCTACCCTGTTTAAAATTTGTTCCTGACTATATTCTTCTCTGCTTTATTTTTCTCTGTTGTTCTTAATCACCATCCCAGATACATTTGACATTTTCCCTCTTTTTCTGTTTCTTGCATTAATTGTTTTGTTTGTTTGTTTTCTTAGTATTCCAGTTTATGCCCAGTGTTGGCTTATTCAAAACAACCCTCATGTGGTTTGCACTGTTATGCTCCTTTATATTTGAAACGAATGGCAGTTAATATAGGGACATAGTACTGTTGAGAGGTTTTATTTTTTTCAAAAATACTCTCCTTAATGTTCATGTTAAATCATATTTTGAAACCTAAATGATAATTAATGGAATTAATGAATTTATGAATTCATAAATAATGAAATTAATGAAATCAATACACTGCGTTTCCTTTAGAACCAGAAAAAAGCCTCATGGGGGTTGGCGATTAGGAAGAAATAGTCTAAAAAGATTCCTTGAGAGGAGAGACAAGGAAAAAAAGTTTGAGAAACACTGCTCTAGAAGATCTGCTCCTGTGAGTGGCCCTCTGTCCCTACAGTGTCCATCTAAGGAGCAGCTGTGCTCAGCTTCAGTGGGTGGTGCCATGTGAGAATGTGGGCTCAGGTCTCTGGTCTTCCGACTTCTGGTTTTAAAACTCCAGTTAATAATATTAAATCTACAATTTTTTTGCTGTTGGCAGTTAATATGAATTTTAAATATTTAAAATAATAAAAAATCATAATAAAAGCCAGATAAACCCCTCTGTAGTTGCTGGGCAGCCAGTACATGACTTCTAGTTTAAATCAGTTGTTCATTGATCTGCATAATGTTTTCCTGAAAACACAAGAGATGTGTATTAATAAAGTGTGTATCATATTCTCATGTAGTCTTCTAGTATGCACTTTTTAACCTTAGGTTATCAAGATGGTTGTGTGTAACTGTGGTTAATTGGTTTGCATTGCTGGAATATTATTCCATTCTGTGACTCTACCATTTCTTCTACTCTAAACGGACATTTGGGTTGTTTCCAGGTTTTGGATGTTACAAACAGCACTATTAAGAATATCTGTCTCCAAATACACATGAACAAATATACCTAGGAATAGAATTTCTGGGTCCAGAGTAGTTTACCAATTTACATTTCCTTTAGCATCTAGCAAGAGGTCCCATGGGTCCACATACTAGATAACATTTGGTATTGTCAGACTTACTACATTTTGTCAGTTGCATGGATATAAATGGTACTTTGTTGTTTTTATTTGCATTTCTCTGTTAATATGATTGAATATCTATGAGCTCTTTGGGTTTTACAGATGAGTCACGGAGGCTTCAGTACCCACACTCACAAAGACGATAAGAACCGGAGCCAGGACTTAAACTTAAGTCTCTGATTCCTGAGGCTGAGGTCTACTGCTCAGCTTCCAGTTACTCATATTCATTATTTGTTTATTAGGTGGCTTAAAAGGATCTTCTTCCTCCAATCCAAACTTGTAGTAGTTAGCAGCAGGAACTGTCTTAGAAATTTTCCCTCTTTCCTTGTACTTCAGGACAGAAGGGTACTTTACTAAGTCCCTACACCCTCTGGATTACAACACTTGGGTTAGAAGCTTTCTGCCGGTCTGAATGCTTTATGTTCAGTCCTCTCTCATCAGACTCCTCTCCCCCCTTAGGATAATCTCTGGATGTTGATCATTTAGAATTGTTTCTGGTATTTTAGGAGTTGGTGACTTTCCAGGATGTGGCTGTGGACTTCAGCCTGGAGGAACTGACCTACCTTAGTGCTGCTCAGAGGAATCTCTACCGGGAGGTGATGCTGGAGAATTACAGGAACCTGGTCTCCTTAGGTAAGGCCGTCTTCTCCATGGAACTTGGTTTCTGTCTGATAAGGCAGTGGTTCTCACCTCTTTCCTCTCCTCACGTCAGGAACGTCTGTAACGGTGATTCACCATGTCTGAATCTCAACCCAGACCAGAGACAGTATTTTAATATCAAATTCAGTTACTCATCATAGAGGTAACATTGAGTACTTAATATGTGTTATCAGGCACTAGTCTAAGCACTGCACTTGTCCTAACTCCTTTATTCCTCATATTAGTTCCGTGAGGGGGAGATATATTTCTTGTTATTTTTATTATTACTGGCACTTTACATATGAGGAAACTGTCTTGGGAAAGTTAAATTACTTGTCTAAAACCACACAGCTACTAAGTGGCTGACTGGGGTGTGACCCTAAGCGGTTCAGCCCCAGGATCTGTTCCCTGAAATTAAATGGCTGTACTGCCAGACAGGGGTTTGCTTCATCAGGTCTTGGTGCAGTAGAAGGCTCATGGTGATTTAAAAAAAATTTTTTTTAATGTTTATTTATTTTCGAGAGACAGAGAGATAGAGCATGAGCCAGGGAGGGGCACAGAGAGAGAGGGAAACACAGAATCTGAAGCAGACTCCAGGCTCTGAGCTGTCAGCACAGAGCCTGATGCAGGGCTCAAACCCATGAACTGTGAGATCATGACCTGAGCTGAAGTCAGACACTTTGACTGAGCCACCCAGGCGACCCACGTTGTGATGTTTTTTGAATGTGCGAAGGAATCAATGAAACTTTCCGGAGCTCCAAAGGCTTCTGCTGGACTTAAACTTTTAGAGTCAGAGATTCCCAGTCTCTCTTCACATCCAGAGGCAAGGTGGTTTGCCTCTCCTGACAGGCTACATGTTTTTGTTGCCAGTGCCAGGATTCTCATTTTAGTGGCTTTTTGGGGGGCCCTGAGGTCTCCTGAAACACACAATCAAAACCAAACAGCATTCCACTGGCAGCAAGTTGGTGCTCTGGTCCTTGTGAAGTCAGAGACCTGGGGGGTGGGGCAGGGGTTGGGGGTGCCTTATCTCAAACCTGGCACAAAAGTGTGTAATGTGAACCGTGACTTTTATTGGTCACAAAGAAGGCAAAAAAGAGTGCCTTTTCCAATGTAACTCTTCTCTCAGTTACCATATTTGTGACTTAAAATAGAGAGAATAAATCAGTTTTACCTCTTTAGCCCTCATGCGGTGACCCAGAGGCATTTCTGTCTTGTGATGCTTTGACCTCTTGCGTCACTGAAGGTTTGGGGTTAGTTGAGATCTTACATATCACCCAGGATGTTGTCTTCCTAAGTGTGGGGTGGGTATGGTGGGTTAGACCCAAGGGTATTTTGGGTAGTAAATCTTGTTGGTCTCCCATCTGAGTAAAGAGAAAGCAGACCTGAGGCCCTAAGCCTTAGACTGGCAGCACTCAGTAGCGTTCATTTCTGGTGGAGCTATTGCTCTACTACCTTAAGGGTTTTTTCTTTTTTTGCAAATAACAGTGGTTTCTGTTTTAACATTGATATTAAGCTTCCACTTAAATTAAGTGTATTTAATGGGGCGCCTGGGTGGCGCAGTCGGTTAAGCGTCCGACTTCAGCCAGGTCACGATCTCGCGGTCCATGAGTTCGAGCCCCGCGTCAGGCTCTGGGCTGATGGCTCAGAGCCTGGAGCCTGTTTCCGATTCTGTCTCCCTCTCTCTCTGCCCCTCCCCCGTTCATGCTCTGTCTCTCTCTGTCCCAAAAATAAATAAACGTTGAAAAAAAAGTTTAAAAAAATAAATAAATTAATTAAGTGTATTTAAGTTAAAAAAAAAAAGAGGTAATCTAAAGAGGAGTATTAAGGGGCATCTGGGTGGCTCCATCAGTTAAGTGTCCGACTCGATTTCGGCTCAGGTCATGATCTCACAGATCATGAGATCGAGCGCCACATCAGGCTGTGTGCTGCTTGGGATTCTCTCTCCTTTCTCTACCCCTCCCCCTGTGCACTTGTGCACACATGCTCTCTTTCTCTCAAAATAAGTAAATAAATAAACATTTTTTAAAAAGAAAGAAAAGTATTAAACACTAAACACTACTATAAATGGCACACAGATAGGGCCGAAATGGGAGGGTCAGTAGTAAATTTGTCAGCGTGCCAGGTTGCGGTATAGGTAATGGATGAGGATTCCTGTTCTTGTGGATGTTATTAATGCCAGTGCCGTGAGACAGACAGTAAGCAAGGAAATAACGAGGTGGTGTCTTCGTTCGTTTGGTCTGCTGTAATAGAACACCACAGAATGGCTGGCTTCTGAACAACAGATCTTTGTTTCTCACAGTCCTGGAGTCTGGAAGTTCAAGATCGGGGGGCCAGCACAGTCAGGTGAGGGCTCTCTTCTAGGTCACAGGCTTCTTGATTGCTCCTCACTTGGTGGAAAGGGCTAGGGAATCTCTCTGAAGCCTCTCTTTATAGGGTTACTAATCCCATCCGTGGGGACTCCACCCTCATGACTGAAGGACCCTGCAAAGGCCCACCTCCTATCACCACCACACTGGGCATTAGGATTTCCACATATGAATTTTACAGGGACAGGAACATCCAGACCATGGCAGGTGGTATGCAAATGACTTAAGTTTGGGAAATACAGAAGTAGGGGAAAAGGAGCATTTCACGACCAAGGGAATGAAGGTATCACAGGAGGAAGAGAACCACATGTCGTTTACTTTTTGAGCAGCTATGACATCAGATCCCCCAGGCTGAAGTAGAGGGCCCAGCACACTGTCCTCAGGTTTTATTCTAAAGCAGAGTTTTTTAGCCGTGGCACAGCTGACATGTGGGCCAGATCGTTGCTTGCTGTGGAGGAATGTCCTGGGCATTTAAGATGTTTAGTGGCCTCCCTAGCCCCTGTACTAGATATCAATAGCCTTTCTTCCTCTCTGAACTTGTGACAGCCAAAAATGCTCCAGACAATGCCACCTGTCCCTTGGGCCCTGATCAATCTTTAGAAATGGGCTTCATTTTTCTTTCTTGTGCATTTGCATCTTCCTTATTATCGCAGAGTCTTTAGAGCCTAGGCTGGGAATTGCTGTGGGTCAGGGAAGAATCCCCCAGTTATGAGTCTCCTTCTTCAACAGGGTACCAGTTCTCTAAACCCGACATTATCTCACAGCTGGAAGAGGAGGAGTCACATGTAATGGAGGAAGACAGCGATACAGAGATGCATCCCGGTGAGTAGAGAGCAGAGAGCCCATGGAAACCGGAATCGTGGGAAGACAGGCTGGGGGCTGGGAGCTGTGGTCAGAGGGCATTCCTCAGGGTCTGCTCAGGCCAGGGAGGGGGCTGGTAGGCGCGCTTGACTCAGGGCTCTTGAGGCTTCACCCCCTGTGGGCACTTAGTACCTCCTTTCGTCTTCTCTTCTTGCTGACTGAGCTCTTCTCCTGCCTGGTTCCAGGGACGCCGTTTCCCTTTTCTCTAGTGTTCCAACCCCTGCACTTTTTCACGCCCTTGCCTCTGCAGCTAGAAGTCCCAGGTCTTTCCTTTTTAACTCAGACAAGAGAAAACCTTGGCATGACACCACTCTTCCTTCCACTTGCTTCCTATGTTCCCTCATGCCAGGTCTTCAGATTTGACACGCAGAGGCTCCCCTCCCCTTCCCTCCTTTACCCCCACAATCTCGTTTCCATCCCCCCACCTTTGCCAACACACACACACACACACACACACACACACACTCTCTGTCTTTCCCTCTCCCTCTCTCACACTGTGTTCTACCAACATCGTTATGACTTCAGGCCAAGAACCTTCTAGACTTTACCTTTTCCAACTCTGTGGCTACAATATGATAACATTTGCCATCTTTATGAAATCCTTTCCTTCTCTGAGTTGGGTCACTGTGTATCAGCCAGGATCGTTGTTGTCCTTCAGTGCCTCTCAATAGAAAACCACACCAACACTGTATAAGCTGGAAGGGGGATTATTAGCTTACAGTACCGCTCATGTGGACCTCAGGGATCATTGGAAATGGGGGCTCAGTGATGTTATCAAAGGCCTACTTTCATTTCCTCTTGTCACTCTGCCAACAAATCCTAGATCTTCTATCTTCTTTCCATGCAAGGAGAGAGAGAAAGAGAGACAGACAGAGAGAGACAGAGAAAGAAAGAGAAAGAGAAAGCAGGTGAGTCCGAGAAGCATTGTCATGAGTGAGGAAGCTTCAGTGTTCCATTTGGGTCCTGTCCCACCCCTGAACCAGTAGCTGTGCCCAGTCTAGTGCTGATCAGTGCAGCCCTCCCTGCCTTGTCCTGTATGGGCAGAGAAGTGAATGCCCCAATAAAATTCAAGGATCTACCGTGGGGACTCTTCTACCTGCCTCTGTGTTGCCTTCAGTGTCTTCTTTAGTCTGTTCATTCACTCTTTGACTCACTCGGTCATTCCACACATATTTACTGAGCCTCTGTGGTGGGCCACCCCTGTCCTAGGTTCTGTGGATACAGTAACAAATCCCTTCCCCCATGGAGCTTGCCTTCTAATGGGGGTGATGGTTGATACCCAGGCAAATAATAGAGTCTGAGTGTAAAGCAGACAGTGACAAATGGGAGGCTGCTGAAGCCAGGACCGTCAGGAAAGAACTCACTGAGGAATATTTGAACAAGACGGAGGGGGAGCCACATAGAAATATTGAGGGAGAATGTTACAGGTAGGGGGAATAGCAAATTCAGAGGCCCCAAGGTTGGAATGAGCTTGGGTGTTCCAGAAACAGGAAGAAAAGCAATATGGTCTGAGTAAGGTGGAGGGGACAGGAGATGAGGTTGAGGAGACAGACAGAGGATTTGAGCCATGGAATGAGGTGTTATTATTGACACTATAGAATTGTGTTGTCTGATGTAGTGGCCGCTAGACACATGTAGTTGAATTTACACCAATTAAAAGTACATAAATTTAAATTCACTCACACCAGCCGCATTTCAAGTGTTCATTACCAATGTGTGGCTAGTGGCTACATATCACACAGCAAAAATATAGATGATTTACCTCATTTCAGGGCATTCCACTGGGCAGCACTGTTCTAGAAAGATCGCTCTGGTGATTCTGTGGAAAATGGGCTTTAGGAAGAGCAGCAGAGAAACCAGTTGGGAGTCTGCTCTTGCAGGCTAAAGCTCGTGGAGGCCGGTGCTGGCATTGTAGAGGACAGGTTTGGGGGACTCTGTGAGGAGAGCTGGCAGAACAGCTATCTCAGTCCTCCATGTTTGAGTCAGCTCCTCAAAGACCATTTCCCGAAACATCTAATCCACTGTGATGGGTCTGGTTATCCCCATCCTGATGCGTGCCTGATCGTAGTCTGGCTCTGCTATCTCATCTGTCCTCTGCTCACACACCGTGATGTCTGCCAGGATGCCACCTTTGATTTCCTTGGCTTCAGTTTCTTTCCCACCCAGGGGGTTGCCTTTGTATAAAGCATAAAGTTTTGACTACTACTACTCTCAGAAGAAAATCCAAACTTTTAGCAAAACATTTAAATCCCTGTCAATCTGCGGGAGACCAGTTCTTTTTGTTCCCTTTCTTCGGTTTCTACAATGTGTCTCTGTGAGGAAAGAATAGAGGAAATTTTACATTTCTTTTAGATGGGGAAAAAAGACCTAAAACCAAAGATCTAACTCCAGAGCAAAGCCTGCCTGTGGAAAAGCCATCCTTGGGGGTGGGAATGGAGGATTTACAGGTAGGTAACTTCTTCAGTGTCCACAAAGGAGAGTCTTCTCCTGATGGTCCAACAGACTTGTGCCAGGTCGACCAGGAGAAACTTTCAAGTTCTATAAAGATGAGTGAGCCGGAGACCCCCGCTCAGGAAAGAGGCCGTGACAGTGATGGTTTTGAAAGAAGCTCAGATCTCACTAAACAGTCAGAAGGTCCTCCAGGAAAGGACCCCCAGCAATGTGCTACTCCTGGAATTGTCACCAGCCCCCAGCCAGTGGTTGATGAGCCTTTGCTCCAAGAGAACAGAGACAACAGATGTAGATTTTGCGAAAGAACTTTTATCACCCAAAGAGCTCGTGAGAGACATGAGCAGTTGCATGCTGGGAAGAAACCCTTTGAATGTAAACGATGTGGAGAAGCCTTCCACCTCATGCCACACCTCACCGGACGTCAGAGGACTCATTCCAGTGAGAAGTCTCGTGGATGCAGTAAAGGTGGAAAGTCTTTCACCCGGCACACAAACACCTGTGGCCATGTAAGAATTCAGGGTCAGGAAGACTACTTCGAATGTTTCCAGTGTGGCAGAGCCTTTATCCAGGATGTGCATCTTTTCCAACATCTCAAAGCCCACGAGGCAGCCAAAGCTCTTCCCTCTAGGTTGCCCTGCACTAAGACGTATTTCATTCGCTATCAGCGGAAACATGACTATGTTGGAGAGAGAGCCTGTCAGTGTTGTGACTGTGGCAAAGCCTTCAGCAGGACTTCACACCTCATTCAGCACTATCGAATTCACGCCCAAGAGAGGCCTTACCAGTGTAAGCTGTGCGGGAAATGTTTCAGCCGACCCTCCTACCTCACTCAACATTATCAGCTCCATTCTCAAGAGAAAGCTGATGAGTGCAATTCCCACTGAAAACCTCTAGTCAGAGAACATTCTCAACATCGTTGGCTTCATTCTGGAGAGAGACCCTCTGAATGTGAGAAGGCCTTCTGCCATCCCTCACAATTTCATCATGATGTGATTTTTAAAATGGCGAATAGTTGCAAGGGTATACAACAGTCTTTCTGCAAAAGAAGATTCAGCACGTGTGTCAGTAGTCACACAGATGAAAATCCTTACAAAGAATATCTTTGTTGCATAGGAAATAAGCTAATAGATTTTGCCTTTCTTTGGTGGTATTCGTGGAATGGAAAAACTTCGTTTTAAAAAAATTTAAATCCAAGTTAGTTAACATATAGTGTAGTCTGGTTTTCAGAAATAGAATTTAGTGATTGTCACTTACATATAACACCCAGTGCTCATCTCAACAAGTGCCCTCCTTAATGCTCATCACCCATTTAGCCCATCCCCTCACCCAACACCCCGCCAGCAACCCTCAGGTTGTTCTGTGTATTTAAGAGTCTCTTATGGTTTGCCTCCCTCCCTGTTTTCATCTTATTGGAAAAACCTTCATTTTGACACCGTGACAAAAAATTTGTGACTGGCAGTTGGGCTCCAGGCAGGCAATCTATTGCCAAGTTTTTCTAGAAGTGTTTACATACAGTAACTTCACCACGTGGGATGCGTCAACCCAGAGCATGGTTAAAAAAGATTTTCAAGCTGTGCTTATAGTGATTCAGCCACAAAGCTGATGTAATTGGTATTTACACAGTACATCATAATTTACAAAACATTGCCATGTATATTATTTTATTTGATATTTTAAGGAATGCTGCAGTGTACCTAGTGAGCACATCTGTTGTGTTTTTATAGGTAAAGCAAACTTGAAAGTCCCAAGTTGTCAGTTGTGACCTAGGTTGTAAGGGATGAAGTAGGAACTAAACCCAGGTTCTGTGGGGTTTTTTTTTTGAGATTTCATGAGACATTTATTTCATATTTTGATGTTCAACCCAGGCTTTCTTTATTCCTGCCATATCCTCTCAGAAAACAGGTACAGTAGGATACCGAGTTCAGCCACCTTCCTCTTGAGCAGTCCCGGCACTGTTTCATGTGAAATCAGAGGAAGACACTCACAGTATTAGAGGTTCAGAAAGCTTTCTTAGGGTGAAGTTTTGATAGCCATTTCTCTCAGGATTTAGGATTAGATGATGACTTTTTGAGACGCTAACTTGTGAAAGTATATTTTTGCTAAACACTTCCTTGTAATTGTTCTTATAGATCATAAAACCATTACTGATCAAGTAGAGTTTTTTGGTAGTTTCCTATAGTTGTCTAAGGGGTTGTGCTTTCTTATTTCCCTTCTTCTCCCTTTAAACAAATCTTGTTTGAGAGCTTTCTTGGGCTCTGGCACTGGTAGCATGCCGACTTCACCTAAAATCCTAATGCAATGCAGAACACACTTCCTTTTAAAGGTATGAGCCCTGAATTGCACTAAAAATCTCTTTAATACCATATTGCTATAATGATAAAGGCTCTCCATCACTGCCTTGCCTGCTGGTCACATACAAAGACACATGGTAACCAGCTGGACCTGGAGTCCCAGAAACTGACTCCTTGCCTGGAGGGGGGGTTGTTGCTGTTGTTACTCGCTGCCCAGCT